GCATGCGTGGCAGAATAGAAATGACCAAGAGTTTATTGACATTCCACCCAGGAAGAAGTGGCTCTATTGCTACTCCAATGGCATCAGGGCTGGCCTGTGACTGTGTTGCCTGTGTCGTACTTCTGTGTTGCAGAAGTGATGCTATGCCAGTGCCAGGCCTAAACTCTAAGGGGGCTGGGGTCTTCCTCCTTGGTCTCCTGGAGCCCTGAGCAGGTCTATCTTTAACCCTGATCACCCATAGTAGTAACTAACCTGTCACCATGGAGATCTCACTATCTCTCAGTGCTGAGCCCAAAAAGGTTACCATAGACCCCAGTACTGGTAGGTATACTCTCCTCCCATCCCTCCCCCCACCCCCAGTTTCCCAGAGCTGCTGACCTTTTCTACGAGAGTAGGTTTTACTTTCAAAACACCTCCCAGTAGTGATTTTCTTGCATCCTGATTGGGAACCCATTCAGTCCTACACTTGGCCCTGATGTCCCATTGAATTTTCTCAGTGTAGCCTGAATCCACTTGGTTTTCCTCCCTTAGACCTTAAACAGGTATCTCCGATAGGACCGTGGTAGGATCCCCTGGATCAGCCCTGGTGCCCACATTTCAGAGGTGACTATGTGCTACACTTTTGCCCTATTTCTTCTGTGTTCCAGTCTGGTTGCCATGAGTGATGCCTCCCTTGAATTCCGGTTGTTGCCCCAATTACTACTGCAGGCCTTTAGTCTTCCTTCAGCCGTTCTCTTCTCTTTCTCTGTTCATTCATAGGCTAGATCTTCCCAAGGGAGCCCTAATCCCTCTCAGAGACCCTATGTCTTCAGTGACAAATATTCTAGAAATGGGTAAATCGAAACTGCATGGGGTGATGGGGGACAGAGGAGGGGCCAAAGGGGACAGGTGTGTGCTGGCCCTGGCTTCCCCCGCTCCCCTTCTCCTCCAGCAGCATTTTCGAATGGGAGATGGACAGGTAACACTCATCATCAACACAGCTCATCATTTTCCTCATCCAAGGCTGGGAGAAAGAAGCCACTAAACCCCTCCCAATGTGCAGGGAAACCGAGGCTCAGAGGAGAAATGTACCCGTCCAAGGTCATAAAACTCGTCACATGGCACTCAAGCCTCCTAATTCCCAACCCAATTCTTTCTTAGCAGTGCTCTTTTTCACGTCTGAAATGTCATGCATCAGACCTAAAGGGTCAGATTCTGAACTTGGTTGAGATGAATGAACCACAGTCAATCTTGCTCTCCAGAAAGTGACGTCCCAGGCTTCCCTGGTGGCACAGTGGTTAAGAATCCACCTGCCAATGCAGGGGACATGGGTTCGAGCCCTGGGCTGGGAAGATCCCACATGCCACGGAGCAACTAAGCCCGTGTGCCACAACTACTGAGTCTGCACTCTAGAACCTGCAAGCCACAACTACTGAGCCCGCGTGCCACAACTACTGAAGCCCACACGCCTAGAGCCCATGCTCCGCAACAAGAGAAGCCACCACAATGAGAAGCCCACGCACTGCAATGGAGAGTAGCTCCTGCTTGCTGCAACTAGAGAAAAGCCCGAGCGCAGCAACGAACACCCAACACAGCCAAAATAAATTAATTAATTAAATAAAATAATAATAATAAAAAAAGAAAGTAACATCCCAGTGGGAAAGGGGATATTCATTCAGTCTATTAAAAAATGTTTTATTAAGCACCAACTATGTATAAGATGTATATTAGGAACTGTTAAGAATACGAAAATGAGTGAAACATGGTCTCTGACCTCAAGAGATGATCTAGCAGGAGAGACAAGACATGTACAAGTGAAGATACAACCAGCAATTAAAAAGCAGAACATAATGATGAATGTGGGTTACAGGGAGTTCGTGCAAGGAGAGGTTGAGGTGACTGGGGTGCATCTATTTGCCCTATGGCCTAGCGTTCCCATTCCCACTGTGGGAAAAACACTGCCTCGGGCTGATGAAGAGAGGTGTAAAGATTCTCATTGCAGCACAGTTGCTAGTGCCTAGGAGCTGGATAGTAACCATGGTATTTGCATATGATGGACTATTATGCTGTAAAAAATATGCATGACAACACGCATTGATCTTAAGTCATTACCATTGAGTGAACGAAGAAACAGTGAGATTTACAGCACAAAACCAATGATGCAGGTTAAGAACACACACACACAATAACATCATGAATCTTTTTTCAAGAATACACATATATCTCTATCAGCATATGAAAGGCAGACTGGAGAGCTATGTATTTAATGCACTGAAATGAGTGTCTATGGTAAAGGAGTTAACAGGAGTGAGGGAAGAAAATAATAAAATAGCATAAAACACAGGCTTAGAACAGACCAGTGACTTAAGGGACGTGATTAAATCTGTGCTTCTGAGGGGTAAAAATGAAGTCATTTAAGAGAAGTAAGAAGTCCTGCTTGAGGAGAAGCTTGGGCAGAGAGTTCCATGAATGAGATAGACCCTGACCCAGTCAATCACCACCTCATATTTCCTTGACAAAACCTACATTTCTAGTATCTGCCAGTTTCTGATTCCAGTGACTTAGCCAGATTTCTCTCCCATGGGTACCCGGGACCAGTCACTGGACGCCTCCTCTTCTGCATCAGCAAACCTACTCACTGCCCTATTGCAGTGGCTCCTGTGAGCCACCTGTACAGTCTCCCCTCTTTCCACCTCACAGCTCCAGAGTTCCCCAGCTTGGCCCTTAAGGAGAAAAAGAGGCTGGACTGCAAGGCGCCTGTGAGTACTTACTGACTCTTGAGGTGAGACAAACCTGAGTTCAAATCCAGACTCCCGCCTCTTACTGTGTGACCTTGAGCAAATTACTTAACCTCTCTGAGCTTCATTTCTCCAATCAGTAAAATATACATAACAACACTTACCTCACAGTGGGGTTGTAAGGATTAAATCAGATACTGTATAAAGCACAAAACAATGGTGGTTCCTTTGTTTATCTGTAGGTGAAATTCATGGTTCTGGAAGGGACACACAGCAGCTGGGGTCCGGGTCCTCATCCCAGCCTACACACTGATCTATGGTGCAACACTTGGCCCCACTCTCTTCCTTTTCCCCAGGCCCTGCTCCAGTCTCTTCTGTTTTCACCCATCCCTGGGCTCTGCCTGAGCAGGATCTGCTCTTATCACCAGACTCCCAAACGCTCAAGAGTTTATAAGATTAAAAAGACTGCAGTGAGAGCTGCTCAATCCTCAGACTACAGTATCCCCTTCCCCTGACCCTTTGCCCCCTTCATGTGCTGTAGAAGAAAGCCTAACACTGCAGCGCTGGCCCTTTTTCTCCTTAAAATGCCGAAAGGAGATGAACTCAGTGGGGCCTCAGGTTTAAATATGATTTCTCCCTTCTGAGGCGCTATTCGTGATGGGAACTCCAAATAAATTTATCATAGTAATGATTGCTGATTCTAGAGCATCAGGGTGACTGACAGCCATGCTACCTCACACTTGCCTTCCTGGCTTTCTCTTTCACTAGAGAGAAATTGTGTGGAGTGGTGCTGGGTGGGGGTGGCTATAATTGCTCTGAGGCAAGTAGACAGTCATGGCTCAGCTTGTTACCAACCCTGGGGTGGGAGGGACAAAGGGAGGGGTGCAAAAATAACAGTCAGCCGAGATGGCTCATAGAGAAAATTCAAAATCTGTGCGTTTAGGTGGGTTGTTTCATCTGAATGTCTCTGCTGTATCCTCTCCAGGTGAGAATATTCACCACCGAAACAGGGAAAGACATGATGATAAATGTTTCCTCAGCATTAGCAGAGTGGTAGGTCAGGAGGAGGTTGCTCTACTCCAACCTCACGGACAGACCAAGAGGAAACACGGCTGAGCTGCTGCAAGATGGATTAAGGGAGGCTTGAGAAAGGCACTTGTCTAGTTAACAAGAAGCAGTTCAAGGTACAGTTTTATTTTCCAAGGAAACATTCTGGACATTTGTCTTTCTTTTGGATGGAGGAGGAACATTCCTGCCCAAGGTGGGAGCGGGGTTCAACAGCTTTTTCTTTGCAACTTTCTGGGAGGCTCAGGGTAACAAGGGGGTGGGGAAGGTGGGTCTCAGTTTCAGGTCCCAGTGTCCTCTGACCACCCTGACCTGCGACACCCCAACAAGCAGGTGGTGAACAAACCTGTGGAGGTCTTCTCAGCTCCTCCTGAGATCTGGTGTAAGGGTGCAATTAGGGGATGTTTTGGGTTGAGGAGTGTCTCCCCAACATTCATGACCACTCGGAAACCTCAGACTGTGACTTTATGTGGAAATAAGATCTTTGCAGGTATGATTAGTTAAGAATCTCAAGATGAAGCCATCCTGGGTTCAGGGTAGGCTCCACATCAGATATCCTAATAAAATGAGGAGAAGACATACAGAGAACGCCATGTGAAGATGGAGGCAGAGATTAGAGTGATGCGTCTACAAGCCAAAGGGTGCCAGCAACAACCAGAAGCCAGGAGAAAGGCATGGAATGAGGCTCCCTCAGAGCCTCCAGAAGGAACCAACCCTGTGGACACCTTGATTTCTGACTTTTGTCCTCCAGAACTGTGAAAGAATAAACTTCTGTTATTTTAAACTCCACGTTTGTGGTAAGTTGTTTCATCAGCCCCAGGAAACTAATACAAGGGAATTGGGCAGAAGGGTTCCAGAGGTGCCCCAAGGGCCCCAAAGTACCCTGGAGTATCACCTGGTTTAATGGCCTACACTTTAATGTCTGCAGCATCTCTCAGTAGAGCATCTTCAGAAGTTAGAGATTCTATTACATAGTCCCCCCAATTCCTGCTCCCTCATAGCCACTCCAGGCGCATATGAACCCCACCCTGAACTGCCCTCTGCACCACTCAGTGTGGGCTTCAGGCCAAGCCTGAGGATTGCCACCTCCTCTCTGTACCACCACATCTGCTCACAGCTTCTGGCCTCAGTTTGCTCAGTCCTCCCCCATACAGATTTCTCAGAGGCTCAGGATGGGAGATGAGGCCAAATGGTGACTGTCCACCATGGATCTCTCACCTGCCTGACCTCCAGCGGCTCTCTCCTCAATCTCAGCCAGGGCTGCCAGTCACAGGGGTCTCTTTGGCCTGGGGGAAGCAGAGGACCCACAGGTATAAGGTTAAGGGAGGTCAAAGCCAGTGGAAACCAGGATCCCAGCACTCAAAGTAGGGACCTCAGAGAACCCGCAAAAGAAGACACTCTTTTATCCATTGTCCCCAGTTCCTCCCATAAGGTACCTGAGAAAGATCCTTCCCTTTAAATGGGGTGTATGTGCATACATGATGTTTGGGAAGAACATTCCAGAGTGGACAAAGGGCCCAACGCTGAGGCCTCTCTACTGGCAACCCACGTGGTTACACTACTACTTAGGAAGGAGCCTGATCTCCTGAGTCATTCTCCCTCCCTCCCCATACTGTGCTCATTCTTGTTAGACACTGCCCTCCTCATAAGCAGTTCTCAGCCACCTACTGGAGAGTCCTAAAATTATCACAGTCTCAAAGCTGTCTTGTCCTCCTAGAGCCGTGGGGGTTGGCAACTCTCAAGACTCAGTCTTCTCTGCTCTCCTGGGTGGGTTTCAAGCTCTGCTGCTCTCCTGGGAGCCAGGAGGAGGAGGTGGGCACTGTCTTCTCCTCGCCTGGGCTTGGACTGGGGCGGGAGATGGGGGGGCCTGGGCCACGACGCCTTGCTGAGGGTGAGGGAGCTGAGAGGAAGGGGCAGCAGATAGGGAGGAGGCAGAGGGAACATGCCCTGGAACCCTGGACTCCCTGGAGTCAGAAAGCCAGGCAGATCTTGACAAACATCCTGGGAGTTATGGGCCCAGCACGCATGGAGAGAGACAGAAAGGCCAGACTCAGAAAGGGATCATGGTCATAGCAACCATCTGTTTCATTGCAAATCTTCTGATTCATTGACCTGCCCACCCCCCACATGCATGTCAGACTGTGTTCCAATGTTTGGCTTGGGACTGTGGCCACCAGAAGTGTGGCTGTCTTCCTCCAACCAGTCAGCTGGTTGGAGCCTGGGCCAGACTGGAGCCCTGGCCTTGTCACTCCCTGCCCAGCACCCCTTCCTCCATTCAAGCCTCAGACTAACCCATCAGGGGACACTGTGAGTGTCTCCCCCTGCCTTCTACCTGCTCGCTAAATACATTTGACACCTCAACAAGGCAGGGCTTCTCTGAGTGCCCAAAGGAGCCCAAAGCCTGGTGTCTGGTCTGCACCAAGGCCGGGCTGGGCACCCAGCACTAAGGTTTAATTGCAGGACTAGTACAGCATCAGCGTTGCTTGGTTTTAAAATTTTATGCAAAAATGCCTTCAGAGCCTCCATAATTCTCAAGTAAAGGAACTCTAGTGCCCAAGACAAGGGACCAGGGATCAAGGACAGGGCTAATTTGATCCAGAGGCCTCCACGCTGGGAAGGACCAGAGGGCTGTCAAGAATTGCCAGGCACAGGTCTTCCCGGGAGTTGGTTCTGGGGAGATGCTATGAGCACATTCGCTTGGGAGGGGACCTTGCAGTTGGGGAGGCAGCTTTACTAACTACTAAGAAATGACTTTTGTTCCTAGTGAACAGTCTCAGCTTTCCGCCTCCTGCTTTCTAGGAGTAGAGCGGTCCCAAAGTTCAGCGGGTGGGATCAGGAGAGACACCCGCCCCTCGCTGCCCCTCCCACTCCTCTCAGGTAGAGAGAGTCCAGGGTTCTGGTCTTTCTTGGGTTAGTTTGGGAGGGGAGGGATCCTCAAAGCTGCCAGGAGAAGAAAGCGAGGGACGCGAATGGTAGAGGGAGAGAAGTCACCTTTGTAAGAAAGGAGAACCGAGGGTGCCAGATTCCTCCAGAAATTGCTTCTGGAACCCAGCTCTTGCTTCCCTTACCTGAGGGGGCACCTCTGTTCCCTCACTGCTGTCTGTCCTCCCTCCCCGTTTCCCAGGAGAACGTTGGGACCAGGTTAACATTTTATCCTAAGCTATTGTGAGGGGGAAAGACAGGGGCTGAAGCTGGTGGTCGACCCAAATCACTCCCTTCTCTCTGATTCCCACCATTCCCTCTCCCATCCATGTTTTGGGGTTGTCAGGGAAACTGTGCAGCCTATCTGCAGCTTCTGTTCTGTTCCTGTCAAACCCAGGAAACTTTCTAAGGCCAATTCAGTGGGAGCGCTGTCAGAGCCTGAGTTGGTCGGCAAGGAGAGGCTGCTCCCTCTTGAAGCCTCCCGCACGGATGTCCTCCCACACAGCTGTGCACACACGCGCGCGCACGCACACACACACGTACACGCACACGTGCAAGCACACAAGCACACAGGCTTGTGCTGCCCACACACACACCAGCAGTTTCAATCGCCCAGCCGAACCTAATAGGAGGAAAGAGAATGAAAACCAAACAGGAAAACAATCTGCCCTGCCAGCCTCCCGGTGGAGCTGCATGCCCCAATTACCTCCATCCTCCTCTCCTCTGAGCCCTGCAGAGCTGGCGAGGTCTGGGTGCCCCAGGCAGCCCACCCACTCGGGTAGCACCCTGCCACCTCAGGCTGGTCAGTCCAGAGAGAGCTAACAAGTCAGACTACCTGAGGGGATGAGTCCTTAGGAACAGGAAGAGGCACCACGCAGAGAAAGGAATGTGCAGGAATGATCCAGAAGCTCCACAGTGGGAGTCAGAGTGGAGTCTGACCTTGAGAAGGTCACCCAAATACATCACCCTCTGTGATGGGGGGACACGGACCTCAGCCTCTCCAGATGTTCCAAAAGTGAACTGAGATACTATGAGGCAGGGAGATGGGCTAAAAAAGCATGGTGAAAGGCAACTGGTTGTAAAGTGGACCATGTTTAGCATCTTTCTACAGCTCCTAAATCCCAGGACTCAGACCAAGGTCACCATCAAACAAGGACCTTTCCAGTGATTTGAGCTGTCCAGCCAAGACACAAGCTGCTACAATGAGTACTGAGTTTTTCATCACAGGAGGTATGGAAGCAGAGGCTGGGTACCCACTGACAAGGCTACCATGAGTGGCAACTTAGGTCAAATGACCTCTGAGATTCTGGTGGCAGGAAGAGTCCAGAGTCCATAGTTCAGAGTCTTTGCATGAAACAGGCCCTCTCAGTGCATGATGGCTGAGGGCAGGGGGCCAACCCTTCCTTCCATACACTGGCATTCACCAGTGCAGCTGACCTTCCCACTGATCAGCCAAGGGACCTGGCCACTGTTTTCCCTGGAGGACTTGAATAGACCGAAGAGAAGATGCCTAAAGAAAAACTCAATGGAAGATTTCTGTGTGTAGGAATTAGAGAAACACAACCACGTGGGGTAGAGGCCCTGACTATAAAGCCAATTTCTACTTGAAATGAAGGGTTGTGTCTTGAGAACCAGCAAAGAAAGCTTTGTTTTGTTTTGTTTTGTTTTGTTTTGTGGTACGCGGGCCTCTCACTGTTGTGGCCTCTCCCGTTGCGGAGCACAGGCTCAGGACGCGCAGGCTCAGCAGCCATGGCTCACGGGCCCAGCCGCTCCGCGGCATGTGGGATCTTCCCGGACCGGGGCACGAACCCGTGTGTCCCGCATCGGCAGGCGGACTCTCAATCACTGCGCCACCAGGGAAGTCCTTGGGGAGGTTTTTTGGTTCTTTGTTTTTTAATTTTTTTATTTTGGCCATGCCACGTGTCTTGTGGGATCTCTGTTCCCCAACCAGAAACTGAACCTGGGCCACAGCAGTGAAAGCACTGAATCCTAAGCACTAGACAACCAGGGAACATATGTACAATGGAATATTACTCAGCCATAAAAAAGAACAAAATAATGGCATTTGCAGCAACATGGATGGACTTAGAGATTGTCATACTGAGTGAAGTAAGTCAGACAGAGAACGAGAAAGACAAATACCATGTTATTGCTTATATGTGCAATCTAAAAAAATGGTACAAATGAACTTATTTACAAAACAGAAATAGAGTCACAGATGTAGAAAACAATCTTGTGGTTAGCGGGGGTGGGGGGTGATAAATTGGGAAATTGGGATTGACATATACACACTACTATACATAAAATAGATAACTAATAGGGACCTACTATATAGCACAAGGAACTCTACTCAATACTCTGTAATGATCTATATGGGAAAAGAATCTAAAAAAGAGTGGATATATGTATATGTATAACTGATTCATTTTGCTGTACAGCAGAAATAACAACATTGTAAATCAACTATACTCCAATAGAAAGTTTTTTTAAAAATTGGCTTCGTTTCCTCAGAAATCAGGGACAGAGAGGCAGTCTCTCTGGTGAGAAGGGAAGGAGGTTTGTGTCAGAAGAAAGCAAGGTAGAGGTGATACTGTAAGCTCCTTAGGGTCAGGGATAGTGTTGTGGCCTAAATTCCAGGCTATTGAGAACTGTTGTACCACCTGTGCTCTGCACAACAGAGCGAGCGAATTGCGGTTGAAATCCAGTCACGTTCTGCTAGCCAAGCAATACAACCCACAGGATAGAGGCTGCCTGGAAGAGGCACCTTTTTGCTAAATCTCCCCGAGGGGCAGCAGTGGCCCTGCTCCAATCGATCCCTGTATGGATCTCCTGTGATCTTCCTAAAGTCCAAGTCTCACCATGACCCTCCTCACTTAAACTCTTCAATGGCTGCTCATCTCCTATGAGGAAAAAGGCAAATGTCTTAGCCTGGTTGAGAAGACCCTTCATCGTGAGCCTCTGCCCCTCCTCCCAGTCTTGTGAACCCTTTTTCTTTACATTCTCCTGTACTCCAGCTATATCACCCTACCCACCTTTCCCCAAACACTGCGCTCTGCTCTTCTTAGCTTCTTCAAGACTCTTCCCAGCCTAGACTAGACAGGAAACTTGGCTGCAAACGACAGAAACCAACTATCACTAATTAAGCAGATAAGGAGTATTCTGGAAAGAGAAATTCTGGTGGCTCAAGAGTTGATGGGTAGGCTGGAGCGGTAGCTCCCACCACAAGCAGGAACAAAGGGAGGCTAGATGGCAGAGAACACTCCAAGGTCAATGACAAGGGCATCTGGTTAGACACTGCTGCTAGTTCTGCCCCCTTCCCATCCACCCTCAACTGACACCCCCCCAGGCTAGATATCTTTGCTGT